AACATGCCCTCAAGTACCAAGCTGTAACGTCGCCGGATGGAATTATCGTTCATCTCCACGGTCCTGAGCCTGGCTCTCGCCATAATTCTTATCTTCTCGCTCGGAGCCACCTTGTTAGTAAGCTACAAGACAAGATACGCGTCGAAAACACCCGTGACGTGATCTACGGAGACCCCGCGTATGGGATCAATGATGTAATTGTATCCGGATTTAAAGGAGCAAGATTCGTGGAGTGGGAGTTTGGTATAGTCCGCAATTTGTGGACATTTGTCGACTATAGAGGAGGACAGAAGCTTTGGTTGCATGCCGTAGGCGTGCACTATAGTGTTGCTGTCATCCTAACGAACGTGCACACCTGCATGAAGGAAGGCAATCAAGATTCCAGCTACTTAGGAATGAAACCTCCAACGGCGGAGGAATACCTGCGCCCCCAAGCTTAAGACAAATTAACAGTAAACACAATATTCGGTGCTTTGAGGCTAGACAACCTGTGTGTATGCAGTAAATGCAAAATGAATTACATTTTTTAGTAATAGAACGCATCATTTCAAGAGTGCCCCTCATGAAATCCATTTGTCCTTGGCGTTCCTGTTGTTCAAGAGCAAACCGTGCTTCTCGCTCGGCCTTGTCAAGGAGGTAGCGCTTCTCGTCGAGTTCAAGCTTGCGCATGGCGATTGCATTGGACTCCTTATGGAATGTGAGCTCATCGATCTTGAACTTGTTGGTATTTTCCATAATTGAAGTGAAGCTCATGACGGCGTTGACTGACTCCTTCATGATGGCAGAGCTGCGTCTTTCCTTCTTCATCATCGTCTTCTTTGCTTCTTCAGAATCGTTGTCGTCTCCTTCATCCCCAACGACTTGCGCTTCATCCCCGTGAGGGCGGCTACACGCACGGTGTGATCATCTGACTCGCGCTTGTCCATTTTCTTGCACTTGTCTTCCTTGGTGGCTTTCTTCTTGTTGGAGATCATGTCGATCTATTTCATACAGGTGATGCTCCTTCCTTCAGCATCCGCATACCATGTCCGAGAGATCTTGTAGCAATTGTTCTCGCTCATCATATTCCTCGTCCGTTCCAGATGCACGCAATGATGCCAACGTGGCCTTCTAGAAGGCTACGAGTAGGTCGTCGCAACGCTTTCTGCAGCCCGAAGCACTGAGACTATCGCTGTGAATGGTGCGCATGTGTTCACCTACTTCTGCCCATCGAGCACTTGTTTGTCCGTAGGGCGCATCATGCGGGCATATAGACATAACCTCCTTGAGGAGGTCCACATCCTGCGGGGTCGTGAAACGATGAGCTGGTTTCTTTTTACCCTCAGCTTGCACGTCGTACTGATCGGTCATTGGAGAAACAAGCAATGAGTGGTGTACAGTGAGTATAAAAAGGTTTGTCGAGTCAGAAATTCTTACTGAAATATTGTTACGCTAAATTTTCCAATGGACTCGGCTGAAATCCTCACTCGCTAATTGTATTGTGAAATTTATGATAGCAAAATCCCTCTATTATCTCCACGTTTCAGAGGTTAAAAAAGTTGCCTGAGCGTGGAGATTTTGAAATTCTCCCGAGCCGCCTTCCACAGATGTGTTAAATTGTTTTTTTACGTTACGTGGGAAACGCATTTTTGTAGGTGGAATTGGAAGATCTATCGTCGCTTGCTACAGTACCGTAAAGCTGATCGTTCTTATGCGGGTATATACTATACACAAGTATGTCCGACAAGCTCCATTCGGCATTCGGAAATATGTTCCCCATAAGTCCAATACAAATGTCAAGTATCTCCGCCTGAAATTGTCCGAACGGTGTCCGCGAAGTGATCATATTCACCCTTTGCAATCAACCAACCTCAAGTAATAAATAAATAAAGTTAAGGTTTACATGTAACATATGATAGAATACCCTTGCCGCTAGTGCTGCCATTTTCTCTTTGATTTTCTGAGGGCTGGCGCTTCCAAGCTACAGTATATGAGAGCTTCGAAGCCTTCAGAAAATCCCCGAGTATTTGGCGCCATGGCACCAACCATAGCAAGGCCTCATCTACCTCATTTGGCGCGATTATCAATCGATCATCGAAGTGCGGAAGAATCTCACATTGCCCTTGGCAGTTAGTTAGTTAAACAAGGGTATCGACAAACATACCTGGAATTGTAACAAGAGGACCTATTTTTGTCACACCATTAATTTTACACGTTGTAAGCATTATACTGGTACACAAGAGTAACGATCGTTAGTCCTCCTGTACAATTAAAAACCTTTGTACAAACATGTTTACTAAATTTCATTATAACTTCTCACTTTTTATATCCTAATGTCATACCACCTTGCAGGAATTATCCTGACATTAATGTAATACCCACACTCCTTCTGACCTTCATATTCAACGTCTCGATCTATGCTGGCAGCGCAGCAGCACAAGTTTTGATGCATTTATCATTAAACTTTTACTATTAGATCGTTAGGATCTGTGAATGATCGCAGTCCCTAACGATGTATAGTATTTGTCGCTACTTCTGCCGTGGGGTATTTTCCAAATTTTGCAGTTGATAGCACCCGTCCAACGCACAGCACGGAAAAATCCCAATCAATTCTGTCAAAAAGTACCATGTACAACATGCTCAACAAAGTCCGGATACATTCATTACATGAACCTCTGTCCAAATATGTATGGCAAGACACTACATTGATATCGTTAGCACTTCCAAACTTACCATGCAGTTCACATCCATAATTCTGTTGGTGTTCGCGTATACGCTGGGGCTAGCCGCTAGCCCATCCCCCGCTCGGCCAGCGGAGGTCAAGAAGTTCGGGTTGCCAGCCAACTACGACGCGTTGCCCAATGCGAGCAATTTCATTCCTTTGGACAAGGTGACTGCCAGTACCCCCATTTACACGCCCCTCGCTTGCATGGACGAGCCTACGATCGTGTTTCCCAACGGCTCCAACTCAAC